AATTTTTTTTGACAAGATCAAGTCAAAAGTTCTCCTGAATTGTCTTAATGTTCAAAACTTACCCAAAGAGCCCCTTCCCACCCCACTAGCTGAAAAAATCCCTTTTTGGTAGAATACATCTCGGTGCTCAACAGACCTCCTTCCGAAAAAAACCCCCTCCCCAGAACATTCCCAGTTCTGCGTGAAATTGAATACTTTTTTTGGAATTAACTTCACTCTCATCGAGAATTCATTTTATACTTGTATCCCTCCAACGGGCTGATTATTGAAATTGATAGACAAAGCGATAGAGAAAGAAGGCAAAGGGAAAAATAAGCGATCCTATTGATGGAAGCGGGTGCAATGAACATGTGAGTAATAGACTAACTAACGGCAACTCACGAGAGACCTAACAGTTAGTCTATCATTTTCCCCCTAGTCTATAACAACCGACAATTTTAACCAATAAGGATCGCATCATTTTCTCTCTGTCCATCAATTCCAATAATCAGTCCGCTGAAAAGAAATGAACTCCGGGTTTCACTCCAAGATTTCTAACGGAGCGGCCCAATCTGACAACACGGCACGAAAAGCTCGCACAAAAGCTCAGAGAAGCTCGAGAGGGCGGCGAGCTTTGAAGTTGCGGGACGCTGAATAGCGTTACTCACCCCCTCCCTCTTTGCCGGGTAATCCCTTCCCCTCGGTAGTCTCAGCGTATGTAAATACAACGTTTCCAGGGAGGGGGCCTCTCCGTTGAGTACACAAACGCCTGCGATTCACTCCCTATGCAATATCCAAACGCGCTCCCGGTTCGAAAAACCAGGTCAATTATTTTCTCGGATCCTCCGCGCTTGCCGCTCGGGCCACGGAACGCGATGATTCTTCGATGAAGGCGCGGGTTCGAGGCGAACCGGTTGCAACACTGTTCTCGGAGAACTTGTTGAACCGACGCACACATATCCTTCGGTTCGTACGGCCTATTAGAATTTTCGATTCAGCAATTCAGCATGTAGAAGCAAAAACTTCGATTCGTGAGGAGTACCAAGATTTGGTTTTAGGCAGGGAAATGTATTCGAGGGACCCCTCTTTAACAGTCTAAGTAATGCAATTGGGTGAGGCGTGAATTAAATTGAAATGAATTAAACTTGGAAATCGACGCTACTTCACTTGCTTGGATCTACTCAACAACACGGAAAAAAAAAAAAACAACTTAGCCGATACTTTAATAAAATAGCGCCAACTACAGGCAGAATGGCTGGGTCCTACAGCCTGTGGGACTGGACCCTTAAGCTATATTGCTCAGCACTATTGTCTGCAGTAGGCGCTATTTTGCTTAAAGTGTTAGGACTCGGCGCTAAGTTGTTTTTTCCGTGAAGTTGCTCTTTGATGAATGTCGGGGTGGGCTCTTCGCTAGGCGAGGTTTTGCAAATTAGATTCGTATTGCTTAATCATTACTCAGCTCTTCAGTTATTAGTTAGCATTAGGCGAATCTGAGCGTTGATTTTTAAAAGTACGTTTCACGCGTAGAGGAGATAACGTTGCGGTGTCTTTAAAATATACTGTTTCTGGTTCGAGGAACCGAACTTCGGTACAGGTAACCAAAATTTTTCACCTAATTCTTGGGATCCCTAATTTCCATCATATCAAAAGTCTCGGTTCTCTGAACTGAGGTTCGGTTTGCACGACCAAGAACTTTTTTGTTTTTTTGTAACAAAGTTCAGTCCTTTTCTTCGTGAGATTAAGTTAGAAACAACTGGATCGCATTTAGCAAAATGGAACCAGCGCGATTACAGTGTTTTCAAAATCGTGCAACTTCTCCTTTTCTTTTAAAAATACTTGATATAAGTACAGTATTAAAATTTACACAATTATTTACCTTTAAAATCAACAATTTTTTGGTGGGAAGCCAAAATTATTTGCTATTCTGGGACATTTTTTTAGATACCTAATAATGAAGAAGCAAAATTTTTACAACACAGTAATCGCGCTTGTTCCTTTTTACTAAATGGAATCCAACTCGGAGACCCTGACTTCGGTTTGGACGCGTTGTGTAAAGTCCTTGATTTCTTTTTCCTCCTATTCCTTTTCATCATTTAAAACAATCATCGACAGGGTGAAAGATTTTGGTTGTTTCAGCAGAAAAAATCTATCCAAATTGAATCTTCGCTGTCCCGGTTAAAATGTTACTTGGCTCAGTAAGACGCTTTTTCGACGCAACGAGCACCCATGTCCTCGTAGCAACGAGACATTGCCAAGAAACTTGTTTCATCTGCCGTAATTTAGTTCAATTTTTCTTAGTAGACGGGTATTTCTTTACCTAGAAGATAGGGTCTGCAGTGCGGGCTGCATATCCCAGAATATGAAGGCACTTCGTTCGCACACGAGAATACGAAAGGACAAGTGAATTAGTTGTTTTCAAAAGGGAACAGGTCCATTTCTCGATGAGTCTTAGTTAGCATGTTCTTTTATGCAAGCCAGGGCTCATGCAAAAATGGATTTGTTCCCTTTTGAACGCGAGTGATTCAAGTGTATTCGCGCTGTATATTTATCAGCGCACATTCCAAGAAATCATCTTCGGAACGTGTTTCCAAGTAGCTCTAGGATACATACGACGCTATGATTACTGACTGTTATTACTTCCAAGAAGTAACATCGGAAGTTTTCAAGATATAAACGCTGACGCCATACTACATCAGAAGCCTGGCCGACTTCCAGGGAATCTTCCATTACAGTAATGGCACCTCGTCAAGGATATCTCAATAAAACAATTACTTCCATGCAATTGCTGTATTGTGCTAAGTTTACTCCCGAGGCTATAGAATGTTCGATATCCATCAAATTTCCCTTATTTGAATAAAAACCTGAAAGTTTAAAGTTGCTCCAGGATATCGTTGCATTTTTATTATTTTTTTCATCTCCTCAGCGAATGAAGGATATAATAATTTACAAGTATAAAATAGAGTAACTTTGGAAATATAGATTCTTTCAAGGAATTGCAATGATTTGACACTGTAAAATTTTAAAGACCAAAAAAAAATGCATTGCCAATTCTCAAAAATAACTATCCTAACGTATGTCAGAATCATGGCGATTTTTTGTGTTTTAAAAGGGGCTCCTCCAGAAATTTTTGAAAATCTTAAAGCATCCAATATGCAGTTTGAGTCAATTTCGTCCTGAGTAATTACCAAATATAAACGTTTTCCCCTCATCTTTCTTTCATTCCTTCCTTCTTCCTCCTTTTTTTTTTTTGGAGAAT